CTGATATCTTCTTCTCATAAGATAATAAATCCCTAAGTTACATGCACGAGACCTCAAATGCTTGTGGTGGTGGTAATGATAATGATATTAATTATAGGAGCCCTAGTCATGGATCAGGACTCCATTGTATTAGGTTCTGTACATACACACAGGACAAAAAATTGGTCCCTGCCCCAAAGCAGTAAATATAAGACAAGAGAGGGACACAGACGTGGGTGTACAATGAAACAGTGAGACAGTATTGATCAGCATGATGGGCAGTGGTCTCAGCATGCCAGTGGCCTAATTAGTAGCCTAACTTTTCCTGCCTAATAAGGTATTGTTACATGAGCTAGATCTCAGCAGCGCTCCTCCCACCCACAACAGTATTTGGCAAAATGTTGTGGGTTATCATCACTAAAGCTCAAATTTGGATTTTTTTTTAAAGTTAATTTACCTTGTACTGTATATCAACACTGGCCTCAAAACTGACTCCTGGAGAGTTACCCTACTAACTTATTTTAACTCTGATGAATAGTGGGCTATAACAACTGTTTCCTATTGTTGAACCTGTGTACAATTCACAGCAGGACTTTACCTCTTATCCCTTAGTTATTTTCCTTAATAATCTTTTATGAGGTACTGTAACAGGGTGGCAAAGTGCATAATCTTACATAGGGATGCAGGGTTCTTTTGTTGATCCATCCTGTTATCAGGAGTTAGAATCTTGCATAAAGCTGATGAGTAAATTCTGTTGATTCATTATGCCACCAAGATATAACAGAAATGTGTGTGTAGGACCCTTACATGTGTGTAGGGGAAATTAATGTTCAGACAGGAAGATCCTGTAAGAAACCCTAAGAACACTTAGGCGTAAGGGGAGAGGTTCCTCTGAGGTTTGTGCTGATTGACTCTATTGGTAACTCAAAAATAACACAGCCATCATGAGGGGGCACGTTTGACTTTATTAAATATGTGTGGACTTTATTAGAAGTAAGATGGGAATGCTTCCTGCTTCATAGGCAACTTAATGGAAAATATTATGAAAATCCAGGTAATTCAGTTTATCCATTAGGTCATCCATATCTGATATTTCATTAATCTTTTCCAAATACCTTTAAAAAGATAAGGATTGATGCTTTCCTGCCCAAGTCTTGCTTTCTCAAGGCCAAAGGGAGTCCCACATTTCCATTGACATCTGGAGATCAAGCAGCAGCAGTAGAATACAGCTGGAATTTAGTTACACACAAAAATTCATAAACTAGAAGGGATTCCACATCTAGGAGCTAGTATGGACTATGGAGAACAGTTTTCTAACAGTGTACCTTCCAAGAAGTAGTAATTAACACTGAGCAGGAATTTGACATAAACCTGGAATTTCAGCTATCTGCATGTCATAAAGGCTTATGTTACCTACCATTGGGTACATATGTACCATTGGGTACATACACTAAACAACCAGTGGGGCCCCTGGATGATTGCGATACAAAAGGAGCACTTAAAGACGATAAAGTCATCACAGAGAAACTAAATTAATTCTTTGCTTCAGTCTTCACTGCTGAGGATGTTAGGGAGATTCCCAAATGTGAGCTGTCTTTTGTAGGTGACAAATCTGAGGAATTGTCACAGATGGAAGTGTCACTAGAGGAGGTTTGGGAATTAATTGAGAAACTTAACAGTAACAAATCACTGGGACCAGGTGGCATTCACCCAGGAGTTCTGAAAGAACAAAATGTGAAATTGCAGAACTATTAACTATGGTTTGTAACCTGTCCTTTAAATCAGCTACTGTACCCAATGACTGGAAGATAACTAATGTAACACCACTATTTAAGAAGGGCTATAGAGGTGATTCTGGCAATTACAGACCAGTAAGTCTAATGTCAATACAGGCCAAATTAGTTGAGACAGTAGTAAAGAATACAATTGTCAGACACATAGAATATAAATAGTTGTGCAAAAGTCAACGTGGTTTCTGTAAATGGAGATTGTGTCTTTCTAATCTATTACAGTTCTTTGAGGGGGGTCAACAAACATGTGGACAAGGGGGATCCAGGGACATAGTGTACTTACATTTCCAGAAAGCCTTTGACAAGGTCCCTGTATAGGAGCAGACTCACCCCTGCAGTGCCTCCTGCTGGTCATCCTTGGGAATTAGCTCTTTTCCAGCCTGGAGCGCCCTCTGCAGGCTGATGATTGCACAGCTCTGGCCCCTGTGTCTCTCACAGACCCCAGCGCCCCTTTCTCTGCGGTTCTGCCCCCTGGCAGTACCCCCACACTCTGCCTCTGGGTCTCCCCTTCCTGTGGAACCCCCAACCCACTATCCCCACCTTGCCTCAGGCTGGACTACTGCCAGTCATCACCAACCCCCGCTCCCTGGGGCAGACTTCAGTGTAAAGGCCACTCATCATAGGCAAGGGGGTTCAGACCTGTTGCCTTTCTCTGCCTCCCAGTACTTCTATGGGCCTTGGACCAGGCCTTACAGCCTGGGGAGTTGCCAGCCTGGAGCGCCCCTGCTCAGCCTGCTCCTTCCCCAGCACTGCACCACCCTCAGTGTGTGTGTTCGTTCGTTCGTTCGTTCGTTCACTCACTCTGTCAAGAGACTCCTTGGGCCTCTGGCTCACAGCCTTTTTATACAGGTCAGCTGGGGCCTGATTGGGGCGTGGCCCAACTGCGGCTGCTTCCCCAATCAGCAGTCCCCAGCCACAGCCCTCTCCAGGACTGCTTTTAACCCTTTCTATTTTAGGAGTGGGGATAGCCACCCCGCTACAGTCCCTCACCAAAGGCTCTTATATAAATTAAGTTGTCATGGGATAAGAGGAAAGATCCTTTCGTGGATTGAGAACTGGTTAAAAGACAGGGAACAAAGGTTAGGAATAAATAGTAAATTTCCAGAATAGGAAAATAGGAGGGGTAACTAGTGGTGTTCCCCAAGGGTCAATCCTAGGACCAATCCTTTTCAACTTATTCATAAATGATCTGGAGAAAGGGGTAAACAGTGAGGTGGCAAAGTTTGCAGATGATACTAAACTGCTCAAGATAGTTAAGACCAAAGCAGACTGTGAAGAGCTTCAAAAAGATCTCAGAAAACTAAGTGATTGGGCAACAAAATGGCAAATGAAATTTAATGTGGATAAATGTAAAGTAATGCACATTGGAAAAAATAACCCAAACTATACATACAATATGATGGGGGCTAATTTAGCTACAACTAATCAGGAGAAAGATCTTGGAGTCATTGTGGATAGTTCTCTGAAGATGTCCATACAGTGTGCAGCGGCAGTCAAAAAGCAAACGGGATGTTAGGAATCATCAAAAAAGGGATAGAGAATAAGACAGAGAATATCTTATTGCCCTTATATAAATCCATGGTACGCCCACATCTTGAATACTGCATACAGATGTGAACCCTCATCTCAAAAAAGATATACAGCATTAGAAAAGGTTCAGAAAAGGGCAACTAAAATGATTAGGGATTTGGAACAGGTCCCATATGAGGAGAGATTAAACAGGCTAGGACTTTTCAGCTTGGAAAAGAGGAGACTAAGGGGGTATATGATAGAGGTCTATAAAATCATGAGTGGTGTGGAGAAAGTGAATAAGGAAAAGTTATTTACTTGTTCCCATAATATAAGAACTAGGGGCCACCAAATGAAATTAATGGGCAGCAGGTTTAAAACAAATAAAAGGAAGTTCTTCACTCAGCACACAGTCAACCTGTGGAACTCCTTGCCTGAGGAGGTTGTGAAGGCTAGGACTATAACAGGGTTTAAAAGAGAACTGGATAAATTTGTGGAGGTTAAGTCCATTAATGGCTATTAACCAGGATGGGTAAGGAATGGTGTCCCTAGCCTCTGTTTGTCAGAGGGTGGAGATGGATGGCAGGAGAGAGATCACTAGATCATTACCTGTTAGGTTCACTCCCTCTGGGGCACCTGGCATTGTCCATTGTTGGTAGACAGGATACTGTGCTGGATGGACCTTTGATCTGACCCAGTATGGCTGTTCTTATGGAAGCACTCGCTGCCCTGAGGATTTCCACACCCTAGACAATTAACCTTCTCACTCTAGTATCTCCAGATTTCTATAGGTCAGCTTCAGGTTTAGCCCAGCTGTTCAGTCTCCTGTTTCTTGTTGGATTCTTAACCTGGTACACTGGTCTCTTTGGAAACCTCTCTTGGCAGTGTTCCATGTTGTTCTTCACTGTAGAAGTTACCTTTCCTTTTATCAGATTAATCACACAGGCATAGAAAGTTCAAACTTTAAAAATACTGTCAGGCAGTCAGATCTTCAGTTTATGCTGGGCAAGGTCAGTCATAGAATATCAGGGTTGGAAGGGACCTCAGGAGGTCATCTAGTCCAACCCCCTGCTCAAAGCAGGACCAATCCCCAATTTTTGCCCCAGATACCTAAGTGGCCCCCCTCAAGGATTGAACTCACAACTCTGGGTTTAGCAGGCCAATGCTTAAGCCACTGAGCTAGGAGGAATAGCTCAGTGCCTTAAGCATGTGGTTCAAAGAACACTTAAGTTTCTGTCAAAGCTCAATTCAACCTTTCACCTGAGCTAGAAAATACATCTATATGGTTCTCTGAATGGCTGCAGAGCAATTAACTATTACCTATCTTGAACGTGTCCATTTTAATCATTTGTAAATCAGGTACACTGTTAGTTATTTGCAGGATCACAGGAAATGGACCAATGCCATGAAAGCAAGCTTTTCATGTTGGGTCACGTTGATTGTAGCAGCTCCCATTAGACTCTGGCAGAACAAATCATGCAGAAAATAGAGTAAATTCTACAATTAATCTGAAATACTAAAAATATTAAATCTTATAATTATATTGTGAAAATAATTGTGATCTAGCTATTATATGAGAGTTGTTGTTTATCCTTTTAATTGGAGTGTCATCTTTGTCTGAATATTTAACCTTTTAATGATGTGAAATAGTTTTTGAGCTTGTTTTAAACGGAACCCTTCTGGGTAAGGAAGTAATGTTTTCTCTTGCCTATGTTGTTGCAGACTCTCCTTCAGATTTTTGGCGTAGTAGCTGTGGCTGTGGCAGTGATTCCTTGGATACTCATCCCTTTAGTTCCACTTTGTATTCTTTTCATTTTTCTTCGACGGTATTTCTTAGACACAGCAAGAGATATTAAACGTCTGGAGTCCACAAGTACGTTGCTTGGATAGAGCTGATTTTAAGTCTGAGCAACAATTATATGAGATGCTAAAATTCTGCAAACAATCAATTAATCAGGAATTTTTGCTGTAGTTTTGCAAATTACTTGCTTGTTGTCTTGAGTCTTAACCCAGCAAAATCCTTCAAAACTTGCTTAACCCCAGGCTTAAGTTCACAATTAATGTCTTTGAAGTCAAATGTACTACTCATATATTTAAAGTTAAGGACAACTTAAACTTAAAGTTAAGTTTAAATGATTTGCTGAATCTTGGCCTTAGTGGGCTAATTGCACATAATAATGTAGGTTTTGACCCAGTATGACCTTCATAGATTCATGATTATCTCAGTATTTCAAATTGATTATTAAATAGCAGAGTCTGAGTCTTTAGCATCATGAATAAAAAAAAATGGGTGCGTTATCTGATTAGTGAAAGAAACAAAGGAAGAAGTCATGGATGATAACAACTGTTGAAAACGTTTTTTGTGTCAATTAGATTAATCCATTTTGCCATCCAAGTGGGTATAATTGAGTAACAGGAAAATAGGTTTATCCTATGTTTATCCTAAAAGATGTGATTCAGTGGCTTGTGTCAGTAAACAGAGAAGTAGGATTAAAGGTTAACATAGTGCAAAAAATTACCAACACTGCCCTTCAGCTACAATAAATTAATCTTTTTTACTTTGCAGCTCGAAGTCCAGTGTTCTCCCACTTGTCAACATCTCTCCAGGGACTTTGGACAATTCGTGCTTTCAAAGCAGAGCAAAGATTCCAAGAATTATTTGATGCTCACCAAGATCTTCACTCAGGTTTGTCACCAATAGACATGGACAACTAAGTATGTAGCTCTTTCAGAGGGAAATATTTTCTCCCCTCAGTATGCAAAAGTAATCTGAATTATGTGCAGCGTACATGCACAGTTCACACTGATTTTAATACATCTCTCTTTAGGGAAAAATCTCCCCATTAGTTGTTTCTTCTGTTTTTCTGGATTTGTAGAATACACTTTAGACTCTAGTATAGTTTGAGAGAGCCAAGCATGCATAATAACAATATTTACGATAAACATTTTAAAGTATACCCAATAAGTACATTTAAAATTCATTTTTCACCAAGATCTTGTATTGCATAATATTTTAAGGCAAAACAAGTTATACTTAGCAATATTTAATATTATTCAGGTGGAACACTAAGGATGCATCTACACTAAAAAATTGAGTCGCCCTGTATTAGGTCGGTTTACAGCCACCGCAGTAATTACTGCCGTGGTGCATGTCCACATGACTCTCCTTGGGTTTGTGGTGCGTATCTCAACAGGAGCGCTTCCACTGACCTAAGAGGGGCAATGTGGGGAGTTGAGAGCCCAGTCTCTCAGCTCTGCTGGCAGATCCCTGCCAGGAACCCAGCTGGCTGCCCACCCCATTGGCTCCCTGTTCCCTGCCAGGAGCAGGAGAAAGCCTCCCAGGGCTTTTCGCCTCTCCATTCTCCTCCAGGAGCAGGCGGGGAAGCCCGCTGGGGCTTCTTGCCTGCTCGTTCCCTGCTGGGAGTGGGGTCCAGATTCCCAGCTCTCCAAAGGAGTAGGGGTAGCTGGGCTCTAGCTGCCTGGCTTTCTTGTCAATTTCACAGCAAGCAGTGAAATTGACAAGAGAGCTAATAGCTGATGTAATTAACACAGTGTTTGCACAGACTCTGTGTCACCCTAACTTCACCGACATAAGCCCTGCACCTCTTGTGGAGGTGGAGTTATTATGTCGGTGTAGTAGGGCAGTTACATTGGCGGGACAAGGCTGTAGTGTGTACACTGACATAATTAGGTCAATGTAAGCTGCCTTACATTGACCTGATTGTGTAGTGTAGACCAATCCTAAAACTGTACAAAAATATTTAATGTAAATTATCCTTTGGAAAAATATAAAAATCTGTTAATCTCTTATCTTTTTTGTCTGAGCAACTTTAAGAGCTCCTGTCTGTGTTAATACTGTAGGTTAGTTTTTATTAAAGTCTACTTGGCTGCAATATGAATATTCTGTATGCAAAAGTAATCTGAATTATGTTTGTACTAAGTATTCTATACTAGTTTGCCTTCTTTTTTTTTTTAATTGATAGAGTCATAGAGTTTCAGGCAAGAAGAGACCATTTTATCATCTAACCTGACTTCCTGTATTTTACAGACCATTACATTTCACCTAGCTACCCCTGTACTGAGTCAAGAGGCTTGTGTTTGGCTAAAGTATATCCCCAGAAAGTCATCCAGTCTTGACCTGAAGTATTTGTCTCACTTCGGCTTTCAACCATTAGTTGTTATGTCTTTCTCTACTAGAATAAAGAGCCATGTAGTATGTGATATTTTCTCCCCATGCAGGTACTTATACAGTGTAATCAAGTCACTTCTCAATCTTCTTTTTGATAAACTAAACAGATTGACCTCTCTAAGTCTCTTGCTGCAAGGCATTTTCTTCAAATAACTCAACTCCAAATAATTTGTGACTTTTTTCTGCACCTCCAGTTTTTTTTATATATTTTGAAAATGTGGCCACCTGAACTGTACATAGTATTCAGTATCAGTCTCCACAGTGCCTTATACACAAAAGTAAAATTGCCTCCCTATTTCTACTTACTACTGCCCTGCTTATACATCTAACGAGCGCAATAGCCCTTTGTATCACAGCATCGCACTGAAAGTTCATGATAAGTTGCTTGACCAGTATGACACCTAAATCCTTTTCAGAGTCACTGTTTTCCAGAACACAGGTCCCCAGTCTGTAGGTATGGCCTTTTTCCAAGACATGTAACTTTGAATTTGGCTATATGAAAATACATTTTATATGAACAGGCCCAGATTACAAAGCGATATAGAATTCTATCTGATGCCTATTTGACTTCTGTTATTGGCCCTAACTTTGAATACTTGAATTTTCATCATACAGATTATGCTGCATTCTTCTGTGATTTATATCATATAACCTCCACTGTCCAGTAATACTCAATTCTCTGAAGCATATTGGGATATACTTTATCTAAATGTTATATGAAAGAAAATTGCAATGGTATTTTACATAGCATACTAGGCATCTGATCCAAAGTCCATTGAAGTCAATGAGAGTCTTTTTGTTGGCTTCAGTGGGCTATGAATCAGGCCCTAGCATCTTTTATTTCTATTCCAACTCCTATTTGATATACTAGTGTCAGCTGTGTTAAACGGTGTGAAAACCTGAAAACTGGCCAGCACTAGCTAGGAAAATAGGACATCATCATCAACACATGCAAACACTCTCCAAGACAATGGTATTTTTGCAGCTTATGGAATTAGTCCATGCTAATGTTATATTACTGTCTTATGGGAGTCCTTATAGAACTTATTTTTTCCCCAATAACTTATTGTTCTTATTATGACTTTTAAAAAACTCTTTAGAGGCTTGGTTTCTGTTTTTGACTACCTCCCGATGGTTTGCTGTGCGGCTGGATGCCATCTGTGCCATCTTTGTTATAGTGGTTGCCTTTGGTTCCCTGCTTCTCGCAAAGAGTAAGTACAGATGCTAGGAATGTTAATGCTATAATTACAATATATAGCAATACCTTATTCTTTTTCAGAATTTACTTTCTCTAATTGTTTATGGATTGCAGTTACGTAAAATGTTTCTTTCTAGATCCTGGTCTGTCCCTCTGTCCAAGACATTCCTGTAAGTACTGGAGACCGTTCAGACTTCTCTGGACTCAAGGGATTGGCCATGAACCTAACAACCTTTCTCCAGATTATCTCCCCACAGTGTTGCAGGCAAGCTTGCAATTCTACAATCTTGCCTTTACTGTTGAAATACTAGCTTTTAAAGCTGTCTTTGGGACAACAACATTTGTTTCCCTTCTTGTCACGGCAGACTAGGCAAAACAAAGCAGGCTGAACATTCAAGGATTCAGCTCAAATGTCTTGGATTCAGGGAGAGCCCAATCCCAGAAAGGGAGATTGCATTATAAGAAATTTTATATTCATTGTCATTCTGATGCTGTTGTTTTATATGATCATCCTAGGATGTAATTATGGTAGATGTTCTAAAACTAGATAGTCTTCTAAAATACAAAGGAAGTAATTATCTTGGACATGAAATTTGCGTGCTAGTTTGCTGTTCTTTGTTTCCTTTATTTTTCCTTTAGATAAATTATATATAGACCTATATACATGGCATTATAGAGGAGATTTCCAACTAGGTTTCAAGTTACTAGACTTGAAGACAAATCAAAACACTGGGTTTAATTTGTCTCTCCAATCAGTATAAGGAGCAGCTTTTGTGAAGTCAATGGAGTTATGCTGATATAAAATGGCTATAGTGAGAGGAGAATCGGATCCCATATTAGGACCAAATCCTGTTTAGTTTATTCACAAGAGCTGACTCGCTGAGTTTAATGAGTCTGTCCATATGAGTAGGGTGAGCAGAAGTTTGCCCTTCAAAAGCATCTTGTCTGCTCTTACAGTGCTTTGCACCCATTTATACCAGTACATAGTTTGTGTAAATGCTAGCAATGTGTTTTAGTAGCATTTTATGCTCACCATGCACAGGTTTAGGGGCCTGATCCAACTCCCTTTGAAATTAATTGAAAGATTCTCAATTGCTTAACTGACTAGCAATGACCCTAAGCTTGTGCTTAAGAGATTAGTTGATTCTGGGCTTTTTTTTTTTTTTTTTTAAGACAAGGTTCCTTGCAGTGGAGAACCAGGACCTTATTGTCAAACACAAATATAGTTTTAGAAAGCTTACAAAAGTAATGTGACAAGATAGACTTTTTCCACAGAGCTACTATTTAAACTGGTGTGACCGAGAGCCAGCTACCACTTCAGTGGCATATTAGATTGAAGGAAGAGTTAAGCAGAGTTTTGTGTAATTATATAGATGTGATTTTTCTCCTCCTCGCCCTACAGCTCTGGATGCAGGACAGGTTGGCTTGGCATTGTCCTATGCAATCACGCTCATGGGAATGTTCCAGTGGGGAGTTAGGCAAAGTGCTGAAGTTGAAAATCTGGTAATATTAATTTCTCAACTTCGTATTTTTCACATCTCTTTGCTGTTCAGTGACATGAAATACATTAGAAGTGTTATCTTTGCATTAATGGAATTTTAAAGACCCTGTTATTTCTATCTAAAGCCTTAGACCCTGTTAATTTGTGTAAAGGTAACAAATATTTAAGATGTATTAAATCTTTATTCAAGTCATACTACATAAGGTCGGCATAAATTTCCAAATACATTTTTGCATATGGTAGAACATCAATTTACACTATTTACTAAGATGCTGTTTGTTGCATATTAATTTTTTTAAATTAATGAGTAAGCAACCACAATAAAAAAATACAACATCAAAAATCTACTTATTCATTTGTGTTGACAGTTTTGGTTTACTTGTAATTATTTATGATGAGTCACCGTAACATTCTGGTAAATACACCTTGTACACTACATAAAGAATAACAAAGGCTTATTTAGTGTTAAACTGTACTACAACACTCCTGCTAATAATAATTTTGTATTTAGCATTTATGCTGTATAGCTTATTGCATTTTCAAAGCATGTTGCAGGCAAGAATTAACCAATACTTATAAATCTTTTTGGAGAAGTGGGGAGAGACTGCGAAGCTTTTTGTCTGAATTATCAGGTTGTGGATTAATGAAGTTCAAATGTGTGAGGCTCTCCTGTGGGGGTGAATTACTCTGTGGGAGGTGAAGATTCAGAGGTATTCAGAACAAGATTCAGAACAAGACATACCATTTACTAGGCTGACACTAGTGTAGAATGTGGAGTACTTCGTGGAGCTATTGTAAATGACTTCCTTTTTCCATGACTCACAAGAATCCGAGGTTTTGTGGTTTTGTCCTACTTAACTCTCCTTCACTAGTAATTTTTTCTTACTTCATTCTGTCTCTCATGTGTTTCCAACTGAGGAGGAGAGGTCCAGAATGGAGAACTTGCTACTGCATTGTTCACTTTCTGGGACTGACTCCCTCCCCAGATCCACTGCTGTCAAGATAAGTCTTTGGGTATTGTTATGATGGTCTCTTCATGGTTCATATATGAAGTTAACAAAGCTGAGTAAGGTGAAATATAATCTGTTAAGAAAAGTTTAGTTTTTTCTTACAGTTTTTGATGTAATAATCTGTTGCGGGGATGAAAGGGGTGGGGGGAAACGGTACCCCATGGCCAAAACTGAACTGCCTCCCATATTTGCAAGAAGAGAGAGGCAGCCCAAATGTCTCAAATTTGGGGAGAGGTTAGTTCCGTTAGTTAGTCTTTTCCATTTAGAATCCCATAAAATCTCAGTTAACAATAGATCTTGCTGCCTCTTTCATATTTGTATGTCCATGGATATGAAAAAAAATTCTGCTAGCTATCTAGCCAATACTGTAGTAACTAGTATACTGATTTGGCTCTACCGCTGAATTATAGATATTCATTCCAAGCACATAGTAACCTTAGCCAGAGCTGCAAGGGACAAGCTCATTGGTGAAACCCCAGAGATGGTGGTGGCTCAGAACACACAAAAATGATAAACTTATCAATGGTATTATTAATAGGCTGGATCTTCCTGTAGCTCAGATATAAGTCAGATCTTTAGTATTACTCCCATGGAGGCCCAGCAGAAAGACAACCTATCATGTAAAAAATAAGGCTCCAGTCCTGCAAAGCACTTAAGCATGTGAGTAATGCCATTGACCTCAAATTAATGCTTACATTGACTCAATTAACATGCTTTAAAATTAAGTACATACTTAAATGTTATGCTGGATCAGGACCTATATTAGGAGGTAAGACTTGCATTTCTGTCTAATAAAAATAGGACAGTACCATGATTCATCCTCTCTCTCTCTCTCATATGATTGAAAGAAAATTTCTCCTGTTATTTTGTAGCTTTTTTTATAATCAGAATGTTACCCAAAATATAAAAGAGTTTCATTGCTTGTGTGACTTTTTTCCAGATGATCTCAGTAGAAAGAGTAATGGAATACACAGAACTTGAAAAGGAAGCTCCTTGGGAGTCCAACAAACATCCACCAGCTGAATGGCCAAGCCAAGGAGTGATAGCCTTTGAAAATGTTAACTTCACTTATAGCTTAGATGGACCCTTGGTGTTGAGGCACTTGTCTGTTCTAATTAAATCAAAAGAAAAGGTATGCATTGCATGCTTATTTCAGATATACACAACATTTTCATTAAGGAGGTAATACCTTATGGTCTTTTTTTCCAACTCTATACAGTGCTATAAAATGTACCAGGGGTGGCCAAACTGTGGCTTGTGAGAGGTATGCATCTCTTTTATAGTTAAAGTGCAGCTTGTGGAGTCTCCTATACCCCCCCATTCTCCACCTACCAGACTGAGGCATAAAGCTCAGGGCTTCTGCCCTGTGGTGGGGTTAGGGGCTTCTGCCAGAGATGACTGGTGCCTGCTGAGAGTGGGGGGTACAATTTAAACAGTTTGAGTTGCACCTCCAGGTACGCCTCCTCCCCCCTTACCCTCAGCGGCCCCTCCCTGCATCTCCCTGGTGTTAGCTCCACATGAAGAGCCAGCAGCAAGCAGCTGGGAGCTTCAGGGAGGGGCTGCTGCTTTAGCTCTGCAGGAAGCAGCAAAAGCAGCAGCTCTCCCTGCTGCTCCCAGTTGCTTGCCACTGCCTCTCCACATGGCCTCAACTTCCAGCTTGCCAGCTCCAGGAACTGACCGAGTGAGGGCCAGCAAACCCTAGCAAAAATCGGGGGGGCACGTGATCCCATGAGACCCTCCATGCATCACTTCTGACTTCTGCCCAGCAAGAAGGGGGCCCCAAGCCCTGGCAGGCACTTCCCACAGGGCTGAAGCCCCAAGACCCCCGACCCTGCCAGGTTGAAGCCCTGAGTTCCAGCAGGCGCACCCCAGCTCTCGAACTTCTGAAGATTCTCGTATGTAGCTCAGAGGGTCAGTAAGTTTGGCCACCCCTGAAATATACTGTCTTTAGAAAATGAGGCCTGTCTTTAAAAAAATAAAAATAAAGTAATTATATTACTTATATTTATTAAAGGATAAAGTATGTTTACTTACAATAAGTTATGCAGTGATGTTTGGTAATATGCATGGTTATGAGTAAATAACCTACTTAAGAACCTATGAAACTAGGGACTTTGTGATTGCCTATTGCATAAACTCCAAAAACAAAATGCACTTAGATTGTATGCTCTTCAGGGCAGGGACTTTTTCTTGGTTATAGGTTTGTAAAGTGCCTATCCCAGTAGGGCTTGGGCCTTTATGTGCTACATAATGCAAATAATTATAAGAAAACAAATGCAGGCCTTGATCCTGTGACTGGATCCATGTGGGCAGATCAGAATCCTTGTGCATGTGCAGAGCCTTGGTGACTTCAGTGGGACTCAGCCCAGGCATATGGATCCTCTTGCACGATCATGACTTTTATTTCAAAATGCAACTAAGGTCACTAAGAGAAAACAACATGCATGCCAGATGTTGTTTACAAAGTCCAGAATTTAAAAGCAAGGAAATGAATAATTAAGGGTATGCTAAACTGTTAGCCACCTTATGAACACATTACTCTTATTAACTACAAATAAATGCTTATTTTGGGACAATCACACTTTGCTTGAGAGCATCTTCTGTCTCTGCCACTGAGAAGACAAAGCTGCTCTGATGATTCCAACGGTTTGTATCCATTAGGGAGAAAAAGGGTCAAGGACGGATTGAGTTTAACTAACTTGTGTTAGCTAACTGCATGTAACCTTTTCCCTAGTTTAGATGCAGGTTTATTATCTTTTCCATCAGCATGGGTCTTGAGAAAGAAATTATTAGGAAGCTAAGTATGGATGAGAAAGAGGGGAGACAAGTAGAGCCGTACAAAGGGACACTGAGGATCCACTAAGGGAAACACAAAAGGGGTAGGGAGGGGCAACACAAAGGGTGGACAGTGACCATAAAAAATAAAGGAGGGTGTATGCACACACACATAATCCCAGGATAGGGGAGAAGGAGAGAAAAGGCTGGGGAGTCGATTGCATAATTTTAGGATTATGATTTAGCACATGATTTTATTTCAGATCTCCCCCGGGGGATTGGCTCAATTCTGTACAATCATTGCCCTTGTTTAATTTGTGACACACACTTTCATTCAGCCCCCACCTCCATTTCATTCCTCAAGTGAATCATTTTAGTAACAAGTATGTTTCAAGAATTCAGCCCTTCTGTCCGGTACAAAGATGATTTCACAGAGAAAGGTAAGTGGGAGTTGAGGGCAAGGAGTTTACAAAGTGTAGCAAAAACGCTGTTTTTCTTCTCTGTACTTTTCTTGCCTTTGGGCCAGCTCTGTAGCAGTTATAATAAGCCACTCTAGTGTAATAGTGAATAAGAAGATGTAAATTTCATGGTGAGAAACAGACATAAAATAAAAGAACCGAAATAAGAGAGGTACCCAGACAGTGGCGAAATGCTTGTTGTTTTTTTTGACCTGCGTGATTGTGCTGTGGGTTTGTCATCCTAAAGTAAGTTTGTCCAGTCTAAAGCTCTTGCAGCTCTGAAGAGAGATTGGTTTCCTTTTTAGAAGCTACTGTTTTTGATAATGTATCACATGGTGTGACAGTAGGCCATCATCAATATAATGTGTAAAATAATAGGTTTCCAAGTATCTGCCCCTGTTCACTGGATTTTAGTAAGAGGGAAGCATTTCTTGAAAATCTGGAAGTTGCTAACAGTTCAGGCCATGTCCATGCTACAGGAGTTACCGTGGTACAGCTATGGCACTAAAGCTATGCTGCTGTAATCCCATAGTGTAGACGCAGGTGACCGTGATGGAAGGGGTTTTTCCGTCACTGTAGGAATCCCATCTCCCTGAGCGATGGTAGCTAGGTCAATGAAAGCATTCTTCTGTCAGCCTAGCTGCCTCTACAATGGGGGTTAGGTTGACATAGCTATGATGCACAGGATTTTTCAGTCCACCTGGCTTAAGGTTTAAATATAGACTAGGCCAAAGTATTTTCTTACTGTCCTCTAAGGCCTCAAACAACACTTAGCACCTAACGTAGATGAAGACTATGTCTACACTATGGAAGCTTCTTGGAGCAGCTGGTCCTGGGACCCACAAGAGGAGAGGCAATTCTTGATTTAGTCCTAAAGGGAGCGCAGATCTGATCCAAGAGGTGAATATAGCTGAACTGCTTGGTAATACTGACCATAACATAATAAAATTTAACATCCCTGTGGTGGGGAAAACACCAAAGCAGCCCACCACTGTAGCATTTTATTTCAGAAAGGGGAACTAGACAAAAGTGAGGAAGTTAGTTAAACAGAAATTAAAAGGTACAGTGCCAAAAGTGAAATCCCTGCAAGCTCCTTCAGCAGGAGTGGGGCTGAAGCCTCGAGCCCTGGCAGGTGCCTCCCACGGGGCTGAAGCCCTGAGACCCCCATCCCTGCAGGGCAGAAGGCCCTAGCCCCATGGTTCTTAACCTATTTACCATCGTGGGCCTCATTTACAGCTCTCTATGTGTTATGTGGGCTGCATCCACACAATATATATATTATTTGTATGGCCCTGAGAATGTCACATGGTCTGTAGCTGTGTGCTGATTGGGCCGCAAGCAGCTCATGGGCCACAGGTTGAGAACCACTGCTCTAGCCCCACCACCACCGTGCTGCGGGGCTGAAGGCCTGAGCCCTGGCAGGCATGCCCCATGGGGCTGATGCCCCAGCAGGTAAGCCCCACCACCCTGCTGTGAGGCTGATGCCCCGAGCCCCGACAGGTGCACCTGGCTCTTGAACTTCTGAAGATTATCATATGCGTCTCAGAGTGTCAGTAAGTTTGGCCATAGAGGATAGACCCATCAGTGGCTGTTATCCAAGATGGTCAGGGACACAATCCCGTGCTCTGGATGTCTCTAAATCTCTGACTTCCAGAATCTGGGACTGGATGATAGGGGTTGGATGCCCTGTTCTGTTAATTCCTCTGAAGCACCTGGTATTAGCCACTTTCAGATGACAGGATACTGGGCTCGATGGACCATTGGTCTGACCCAGTATGGCCGTTCTTATGTTTTTATGGTATAAGTTTTAAAGGTAGATCAGGCCAAAAATAGTGGTGGCTTTTAAACACAAGTCAACTGTCTTTGTCAAAGCTAGATGGTAAGTGGTGTTTAAAAACACATTAACACATGTCAGTTCATACAGTTGCTAAACATAAGTTATTTTCTTTGTCTGGATGACCTAAATTTGAGTTATGTGTTTAGTAATCAGGAACCCAATTCTGCTGACAGACCCTTTTGTGTATGCAGGTAGCCATTGGCTTCAGTGGGACTGCACAAGGGCCTGCCTGCCTGGTTTTGCAGGACAGATTTGATTATGATCTGTATATGGAAAAATAATGTGCCTTTTGAATAACATGATTTATAAAAGGGAATAAAATTCTGTTTACTGAGAGCCAGTTCAAATTCATGTTGATTTTAGCAGAGTGTAGTCAATTTAGAGAAATCCATTTGTATTTTTGGTCAAACACTGAAAAATGCAATGTTTTCATTTGATGCCTGCCTGAAAGAGAGATATTGACAATATACAAGCAGCTGCATTTTTATTTTAAGAGTTACTTTATTTTTGATAATGTTTTCCTTCATGTTGTTAATATAATAGTGTATATCACTAAGGTTTTCAAAAGAAATGCTTTTTAACTCTTTCTTCTTTAAAACACTTTATGTGTGTTCTCCATTTAGCTTTTTCTTTCTGATTTATCTTTTTGAAGGAAGAGGAGCTTTAGTAGAGGTTCTTCAGAAATATTTCTCATTTCAGTTTTTTTTTCCTTTTACTTTTATACCATTCCTTTAAACAGATTTGCTAAAACTATGCTGTGTTTTAGGTAACAGTAATATAATGATTAGCACTTACATAGTACTTCGTGATTGTACACACCTACGAGAATCAGTTATTCAATAAAATCATATAATTGGAAAATTTAGAGGTAGAAAAGACCTTTTAGGTTATCCAGTCCATCTTCCAAGTTGCTTCTTCCAGTATATTTTCTTGTGCTTAGTCTAGGGTGTTTTGTTTCTTTTAAATGCAGGTTCTGCCATTTTGCTTGGGAGCCTGTTCCAGAGCTTAATTTCTCTGTTACAAATTTTTTCCTGAAATTCACCTTAAGTTTTCCTTTCCTTAATATCATTTCAGTATCTCTGTGTATCACACTACATAATTGCCCTCTTTTGTTTGGTGTTTGTACTTTTCAAATATTCTTCTGTTGTCATGTGCCCTCTTAATTACTTAGCTATGCTACACTGTACATCAGTGATTCTTAACCTTTTCAGACTACTGTATCCCTTTTACAAGTTTGATTTGTCTTGCGTGTACCCCAAGTTTCACCTCACTTAAAAATGACATGCTTTCAAAATCAGACATAAAAATACAGAAGTGTCACAGCACACTATTACTGAAAAATTGCTTACTTTCTCATTTTTACCATATAATTATAAAATAAATCAATTGGGATACAAATATTGTACTTACATTTTAGTGTATAGTGTATATAGAGCAGTATAAACAAGGCATTGTATGAAATTTTAGTTTGTACTGACTTCGCTAGTGCTTTTTATGTAGCCTTTTGTAAAACTAGGCAAATATCTAGATGAGCTGATGTACCCCGTGGAAGACCTCTCCCTACCCCTGGTTGAGAACCACTGCTGTGCATATTTAACTCTTTTATCTTTCCTCATAAATCAGTATCTCCAAACCATGATAATTTTTCTTGCTTATCTCTGAAATCCCTCCAGTGTTTGCCAATATCTCTCTGGAAATGTGGTGCCTTGAACTGAATGCAATATATACATAGAACCTCAGAGTTACGAACACTTTGAGAATGGAGGTTGTTCATAACTCTGACTTGTTCGTAACTCTGAACAAAATGTTATGGTTGTTCTTTCAAAAGTTTACAACTGAACGTTGACTTAATATAGCTTTGAAACTTTACTATGCAGAAGAAAAATGGTGCTTTTAACCATCTTAATTTAAATGAAACAAGCACAGAAACTGTTTCCTGGCTTTGTCAAATCTTTTTTTTTAAACTTTCCCTTTATTGTTTTTAGTAGTTTATGTTTAACACAGTACTGTACTGTACGGTATTTGCTTTTTTATTTTTTGGCTCCGCTGCCTCATTGTGTACTTCTGATTCCAATTGAGGTGTGTGTTGACTGGTCAGTTTGTAACTCTGGTGATCATAACTCTGAGGTTCTACTGTAAGAGGTTCTGGCAGAGCAGCTCTATATAGAGAGTTATCCTAAGCAGTGCTCTGTGAGACAGTTGATTGGGTGTACATTCCGTTTTTCTAAGTAATCCCTTAGCTGGTTCTTCTGAAGACAGGTTTTTTGCAGAAAGGAGTTCACTAGCTGAGTCATATTTAGTCAGCATTAATTTTGCCCCTTTCTTCATTTATTAATAGATATACTATCTCCCTACGTATTTTTTTCATTTGATATATTTGTAAAAGATTTTTTAGTTCCATACCATTAGGCTTCTTAGCATTTCCTTATTTTGCATTTTTCCTGCATTTTCTGTGAAAGCCTTACTGACTGAATGTGTTAGTTGTGTTGCTTCTCCATTTTTTTTTTCTGTTGTCAGTATGGTTTTTTTAATCCTCTGGTTTTTCAATGGCTCCTTGTGGAGTCATATTGGCAGATTTTCTTTTTGTGAATTCCTGTTTTCTGAGAGGATTTTTAGACTGTGTTGTGCCTTATAGTGTCTTCTAGGATTGGTCGGCCTTCTTCCACTTACTGTACTTAACTAGATTTCTTAATTCCCTCAAATGTCCTTCTTTGAGATCCCTGGTTATGAGAGATGTGGCTCTGGTATTCAGAGCTTTGAGAAAAGCAGCATATCTGTCCCCTGCAGTGATCTGAACTTTGAAAGCTAGGCTATCAAAGGAATCCACTGCCCCAGCCAGCATTAGTTTCTTCTTTACTGCAGCTCCTTATGGCAAACATTAGGACCATCTCTCCATGCCCTTTGCTCAGATACTTTTTGTAGCTCTATTGTTAGTTTTGACTTTGTTATGGCTCCTCACTGAGTTACATACTATTCAGCTTGAGTGAGGTCATCAGAATCTGACTCAGAATTGTCTCAAGTGCAGTTAGTAATGCTTGTTTAATACTAATAATGTCCATAGGCAGATCTCAAAGTGCTTTACGAAGGAGTGTTAGTGTCATTGTTCCCTTTTTACAGATAGAGAAATTGAGGCACAGGGAAGTGACATGATTAGTGCAAGGTCACCCAATAGGCTAATGGCAGAGCTGGAAATGGAACGTAGGACTCCTAAGTACCAGTTCAGTGCTACATCCACTGGCCACATTGCCTCTCATTTAGGCATTCCGCAACTCATATTAAGGGAGGCATTTTGTTAAGAAAACATTCATTTCACTTTTGAATGAGATGATCTAGAAAATTCTTAAAGCTTCAAATCCTATCCAACTGCAGGGTGTTGTTCTTCTTAGCGTTTACCTTAAAAAAAAAAAAGAAAGAAAGAAAGAAATAATTTTAATCATACTGGCTTGGTTGGTTTTGCAGGTTGGAATTGTGGGAAGAACAGGAGCTGGAAAGAGCTCTTTGATAGCAGCTCTCTTTCGGTTGGCTGAACCCAAAGGACGAATTTGGATTGATAAGTACTTAACATCAGAACTAGGACTTCATGACTTGCGAAAGAAAATTTCAATCATACCTCAGGTATGAAGCTGACTTTGTCTGCCACATCTATTTTCATTTTAGGGCTGTAACATTTCAAAAACTCTGTCAAGATCATTTTTATAATCATTTTTTCTTTTTCTGCTTTCTGTTTGCAGTATTCTTAGGTCCCAGAATTTCATCCTTGTCTGTTTTGCAAATATTAGTTCCCCTGTTCCCCCACTGTAACCTGAGAATGGAGCTGAAATAATCACGGCTTTTTTTAACAACTTCATTATCTATGGATTCCTGTCATGTCAACCAATTATTTTGTGTGTGCATCAGTGATATCAATATCAGCACAATTCTAGAAAGAGTTTGAATTAAGTTTCTGGCTAACTGCTGCTGAAGAGGCAGCACAGAGCATAAAACATTTGCTAAAAATACTAGTGGCTATTGTTTTCCATAATATCTCTGGAATGGACTACTAAATTGAAAACAAGAGCCTATATATTTCGTATCCAAATGATTCAGTCTGAAAGTAGGGCAAATTTTGAGGCCATATGTCTTAATCATTTAAATCGGTCCATTCTTGTGGACAAGTTCTTCAAGAACTGGTAAGAGACAATAACTGAGATTGTGCTTCTGTGTAATCTGATGTATTTGAAAGAATTTGAATAAGATCACATTATTTCCTACAGAGTGCCTCTTCCATAACGTATAGGATCAGCCCTTTGGGTCTGACTCTTTCCTCTTCTCTGTCCTCTTTGTGCTGCTCTGACAGGAGTGTAGGGGAGTGCAAGCAGTATGCCACCCTCCCCACCAGGAGAAAGTTGCAGAGAAGGCATGTCAGGGTATGTTGCACTCCAGCAACATCGGGCATATGATCCCTTAGGGACTGTTGCCAGCTGTGCAACCTGCACCAGGGCAGAAGCTGGGGAGAGAATCACAGACCTCCACTGGCTTCCCTGATACCCATCTCCCACCCCTCAGCTGGACTACATGGAAAGTGGTGCAGCAGAGAATATGTGTGTGTGTGTGTGTAGGATTTTATTATTATTCTCTTTTTTTTTAAAGAAAAAAAGCAAAGAAAGAAACCCTGCTCTCCCCTCTCAAACACATACATGCTCCTGAAAGCTAGATTTATTTAGCAGTATGTGATTTTTGGTTTTTCATGTATTTGAATTAAATTCTGAGTGAAAATTAAACACTTTTTTTTGCATTGATACTTTAGGCACCTAATTGACGTGAATGTTTGGAATGTTTTCTTATTGTACTGGCTATATCCGTAATATGATTTGGGTGTAAACACAAAAATTAATCATAAACAATATCAACGGCTAAACAAGACTTCACAACTAAACATCTGTTTGCCACTCAGCTCCTCTCTTCAACAACAGAGCCTTTCTAATTTTTAAGTCACTTTCTTCCTTCCCCCAGAAATGACCATACATTTCCTGCCAGCTAAAATGCCAGTCTGAAGAGATGCTATTTGCACTGCATCTTAAATATTACCAGGTTCTGGCTTTGGACTATCGAAGGGATCAAACTTCAAAGCTGAAAGCCTTCTCCCAGAAATGTCTTGTCTCTTCTCCCTGAAAAAATGAGTCTTGTTGCTGACCTCTAGAGCATTCTGCGTGTGGTATTGCATGGAAGTTTTTTTTTGAACCTCATCTGCAGAAGAGGTATAAAAAGGGGGAGTAATGGAAGAGATCACAAACTGGAAGATGGACAGTAGCAGCAAAACCAATTGTAGCCCAACAACAGCAGTTCTTACTGTAAATCACAAAGGAGAAACAAGCCAAAGCAGTGATCCACTAGCTGTGTTTCCTATATTCAGTAATCCAAGGACACCAGTTAAGCAGCCAGTGAGTACCAGCCCTTCTCTGTCCAAGATTGAACTGGATGATGACCCTGATGCCTACCTCTGAGTAGTGACCAATGTTGTTCAGTGAGGGCAGTTGTTCTAGGCCTTCAATTTATTAACAGAAGAGGCATAAGCCATGTGTTAGGTCCTGGCTGAGGATGATGCTACCAGCTACAAAGCCATAAAGTTGCCATCCTAGACCTGATGAGGGGCATTGGAAGAAAAGTACTTGTGGTGGTTCTGGAAGTACGCCTTTTCCTCTTCAGAGCAGCCACACACCTTTACCCTACAGCTGACTGAAACAGCAAGCTAGACATTGTTGCAGCAGAAGAGTTTGGTATGATCCACATCTCTTTGGATAGCTGGGCCTATGCAGGTCACCAGATTCCATGGGGACTCTGACCTATCCTCTGGCCATAATTCCCCTTTGCGGGGGAACATGGCTCTAGCAGCCATGACTATATGGTGCTCCCTCTGCAGTGCCCTATTCTTTTCCTGAAGGCATGTGCTTTGCAGGTAGCTCATCCTATTTGTTTGGGTGATGGGAGGAAACACTTGTTTAGACACCAGTGGAATTTGCTTAGTAGGTAGCATTTTAACTATTAATTTCCAGCTTTCATTCTGTTTTGTTTAATAACGTTGGATCCAGAGGCCTTTGACCATATTGGTGTCTGAATGTTTGTTGGTCCGTCAGCTGGATGAAGAAATCACGGTAGCACTTACTTAATGAACTGTTTTATATGTTTATATTCTGTTATCTCTCTTTTTAAAAACAACTGTGAATGTGATAAGAAGGTTAACAAACAATGGCTCTTTAATGCCTCTCCATCACCTGGCTTTCTTTTTTTCTTTCTTGAGAATAGAAGCCAAACAGAAAGAGGTAGGTATGCTGTTACTAGCAAAGACATACAATTGGATTGCAGCCTCATGTGGGCCGTCTTTTGTTTCTGCATACTGGAGGCTTCATTAATGCACAGTGGAGCTACTCAGTGGAGTTAGTGACCTTTTTCTATCTAAAGAGGACTTTACATAGACTTAAATTCTTTCTCTTTTGTTTGTGCACAATGTTCTTTTCTCCTGAAAACGGATGATGATCAGTTCATTCAAGGGCTACAGGGTTTTGAGAACTTTAACCACAAATATTTCAGGTGATTTCCACATTTGGATATCTGATCCCAGGTGAACAAAATATAACTCTAGAGATGGAAAACTGCTGATCTAATGCTGTTCTACACCTTGAGCACTCATAATTAATTGTATATTTTATTCATGCAGAAGTTTCCTGACCTGGGCATAAAATTATTGTAATGAAGTAAAATGTTATTATTTTTATCTTGCTAGTTATATAGAAGGTTTTTGTCATGGTCCCCAGGGGTTTTCAGTATCTGAAGGTTAGCAGGTAGGGTTTCTCTTCCAGATAAAGAGAGGTTTGTTTTCTATTAAGTATATGCAAAGGTCTAAGACCAAGGAATGACTTTAACCATTTTGGAGAGTGGGGGAATAATTATACTACAATAGACATTTTGTACTATATTACTAATATTTGTATGAGTAATAAAAATAGCTACATAACATGGGGCAACAGTTTGTAGCTGCAATCCTCAGCATTTTCTTGGAAAACTATGTAGTCTAGCTGTAGGCGTTTGTAAAATATATCGGGTAGCATGCTAACTGAGTCACTCTCCAGAGAGTGAAGTTTTCTTAAATCTGAGTTTAAATATCTACTCATAGAAATAAAAATGTCCTTAGGTTTCTAATTGTTTGCTTGGATGGAGCTGTATGAAGGTTGTGTCTGTCTGTAAATATTATCTGTTACCCTGACTGCAAGCATTTCTACAACAATTATTCACAGGTTTGGCTTATTAACTTCCTCTCATAAAACAGGCTATTTTAAATACTAATCTGTGTCAGATATGATAATTAAAAATTATCCTTATCTACTGTTGCAATACATGTTTGATTTTAGGACCTCTTATAATAGTTATGAACATTTTTTAAATTCAATTTCTTATTTTGCCAACCTATAAAAATAGATTGAAACAGAAAATTATCTTAACAATACCTTCAGAACATCTCAAATAACTTATTAAAATGTGTATTGTTAAACAAATTACTTGCAGTGTTTTTTTTTTAAAGAAAAATGTTCCCTCAACCCTTCTATTAAACCCCTTTGCTCATTCAACAGGTTTTTATTGGTCCTGGTGCAACAAATACTTTCAAATACTTGGCACATAACAAGAAAATAAAAAGAAAACACATTATCTTCTTACATTTTTATTGTACCACATTCTGCCATCATCAATACCTTCATAATACTCCAGGAATGGCTTAAAAATTAACACATAATCATAAAAGGTTTAGGTCCAAATTCTACATGGGCTTTCTACACCCACATGCAGGTCCATGGACAGCAGTAGGGTTACATGGGGTCTTAATCAGGGCAGGATATAACCTTTAAGATGTGTGATGTTTTTAAAAAAATCATATCATATATAAACGTTTACTCTTTTTTTTTAAAAAAAAATATAGATTTAAGAACCTCTGGTAACAAGTCAGATATTTCACAGTCCTCAACAGCATTGTGATGGTTTTTTGGGCTCAGATATCTTGTGTATAACACCAACAATTACTGACATCCTAACATTTCCTACAGTTCATGATTCTCAGACTGTGCCGTCTCTGCTTGAATATCAGTGGCATTCAGGGCTGTTAGTAGGGAATTCTGGGGCAAAATCATGTCCCTCTTGCTTTTTTTGACTTGAAGATCAGTTTGTGGCATTGGGCTAAAGCTTAGTGGTTCAGTGCTCTCCCACTTTTGTTGCCTTAACCTTTTGATTTCCTTCAGGGCCTTTGGGTAGGAACAAACTTATTTCCTGGTCTTTTCACTCTCTCATGCCTCTTCTCCCCTTCAGAGCAGCATGGAGATCTTTGCCTTCTGGGTCTTCCAGTGTAGTGCCCCCCTGACAGGTCCCTCTGCCTCTTCTCTTCATGGTAGAACTGTCCAGAAGACACCAACAAGAGACCAAGCAGCGTTCATCTAATGAGGCAGTTCTGTTTAGCAGCTCAGGAGAGCTTTGCCATGCCTGTCCACAGTTTGGACACTTGCTCTGCCTAGGGGAGAGGCTCTGAGTTGGACTAGTTTGAGAGGGTCTGCCTCCCATCAAGCCACAATATATTCCACACTGAGAGAGAGAACACAGAAAGAAAGGAATAACCTGATTGGCTCACAGGAGGAAGAGTCCAGGCACCCAATGCCTGCTCCAGGAGTAAATCTATCAAACCCAACCCCTCTCCAACCAGTAATAGTTCCACCTAGATGAGTCCTGCCACAAGTCTTTAAATAGGACACTCTCATTAGGCAAGGGGCAGGCATCCCTTCCAGCTTCCCTTCCTCTCAAGATGAGGGCAGGGAATTTTAGAGGGATACCCTAGGCATTTCTTCTCTTGGATGAGGATCCAGAGGGTGACTACTTCTTTGCAAAAGCTGTCTCTATCCCAAGGAGCAAAAAGAGCACAGCTATCCCACCAGAGCCTTAACAGTGATTTTACACACCCACACAGTAAAAAAAGGAAGAATGAAAATCTAGCAGGTATGTGTCCCCGTCACAGGATTCCAGTCCCAGCTCATCAACTGATGAGGGCTGCTAGAACATGACAATCAAAACAAGATGGGGGAGGGGTATTGAACCCCATTTGCTCAGTAACTCCATAGGCAGAAAAGTGGGGTGGCCACAACTGAAACCCAAGAGCAGAAAGGTGATCAGTCCTCAGACTGCAGATCAGAGGCTGCCTATATATATAATGAATGAAGGAATAGGGACACTTTTACAAGGGAAAAATGTTTTAGAAAACAAGCTACAACATTTTAGTAAATTCAGGAACCAAAGATGTCATCACATTCCTGCCTGAGGTCTGTGCAGTGGTAGCAGCCCTAACCCAGGGTATGTTTAGTCCCTCCATAGAATAGACTAATAGTATATCTTGGCTGTCTTCAGAGGGAGCATTAGGATGCCAGCAGCAGATCTGAGGGATTCCTATTGCCCCAGCTGGGAGAATAGGCCATAATCCTCCTCCTTCTCACTCTTTGATTCCCTCCACTGGCTCATTGTATTTCACTGTATCAAATTCAAGCTTCTTAACCTCCCCTCAAGACTCTTTACAACTCTTCCTTCCTTAGTCATTTGCTCATTCTTATCACCCCCATACTCTGTGCTCTGCCAATTATGTCGTCCTTTAATGCCCATTTGTCTGCTTCTCCTACAAATATCTCCAGACTTTTTTCCACATTGTCTGTAACATGGAATTCCCTCCCTGAACTAATCCATACTTCTGCTGTGACACCTACAAGAAATCAGTCAGCCATGACTAGGTTAAAAAGAAAATTCAGATGATTTGGAACCATCATCTCAGGCATGTGTCTAGCCTGTGTAACTGCATGTTGTTTTCTTTGCCACCCTTGTCTCGCTATCCTGTTCTCTCCCTTGGTTTGTCACACTCAATGGGTTGAGTCTTGTTTGAAATTAGAGTGTAAACTCTCTGGGGCAGTGATTATGCCTTGCCATGTGTTTGCCTCGAGGTGCCCAAATTCTCTCTTGGTGCTACTGAAGTACAAATATTAGTATTAACCATCATTGACAGATACATGTGTAGACGTAAATGTTGCAGAAAAGTTGTGAAATCTATTTATCTTTCAGATTCTTTAATGTTAAACTTGGAGAGTTTCTCCAAACTGAAATAAAACAAAAATCCCAACACCTTGTATTCTACCTCTTGAGCCACTTGAGTCTTCTCCTCTGTCTGTGCCTTATATAGTTAGGGAGCACAGTTTCAAAAGCACCCAAGTATCCTAGGAACGTTAGTGCGTTGAGTTGATCTTCTTGTTGTCGCTTGTTTCCGTGAACAGTGTCAGTGGATTTAATTGCCTAGCTTATAAATATACTATAAAGTGTTGTGGTGTCAAGAGTAGCACAGATAAGCCAGTTCAAGTACAGACAGAATAAATTGTTGGATATATATCGATTTTGTCAAAATACCTGTATTTGTTTCATCTGTTTTATTAAAATATCTTCATGCAGGCTTGTTATGCATTTATCTTATTTTTTTTCTTCCACATGCTCCTAATACACCTCTGAGTTTTCTTTTCTTTTATTACTTCTCTGATATAAAAAGAATCACAACTGTTTTTTCCCTTGTCTTGTACTAGGGATAATTTGTTGTTGTACTACATGTATGTACCATGCATGCTTCAACTCAGCTTTACTGTGTTTAAATTCTGTATTGCAGTACGAAAACTAAGTGTATATAAAGTAAAATGTAATGTTTCATTGGTTTGTAGGAGCCCATTCTGTTTACTGGAACGATGAGAAAAAACTTGGATCCTTTCAATGAATACACTGATGAAGAGCTGTGGAATGTCTTGGAAGAGGTAATTCCAAATATCTGATCATTTGTATCTAATGTTTACATATAAAATAACATTATTCATAGTGTTTATACATATTAGGTTTGAGCTGGTTTGTTGGATTACGTAAGGATATGGCCGACAGAAGAAAGGAAAACAATTGTGGGGTGTATAAATGTATATAAATGTCTCTGTATATAACATTGACCTGCTGGATCTTGCATTAATATTTTTTTTATCATTCGGGATGCAGGTTTGATATATTTTGATTAATTAAAAATAGATTTTTAAACAGTTTTAGACTTAACTCTAGAATTGAATTACATAGTGTATGTATATGAGTATGAAAGGTAAATCTTACATGCTTATTGTTGTGTAAAGCATAACAAAAAATAGGCAACCTAATCACAACAACCATATTTTGTTTAGAAGTGAGTTACTCATCTTACAGTACGTTGGCATACCTACAGGTTCAACTGAAGGAGGCTGTGGAAGAACTTCCTGATAAAATGGAGACACAGTTGGCAGAATCTGGATCTAATTTTAGCGTCGGTCAGAGACAGCTCGTGTGCCTTGCCAGGGCAATTCTCAAAAAAAATCAAATTCTGATTATTGACGAAGCAACAGCAAATGTGGACCCAAGGTAAAACACCAGAGGCCATAGTAAAATGAATTATCCTGTTTGTACATGGTTGGCGTACACAGAGGTGAACTGAAAAGCTTCGTATCTTGTGCAGCCCGTGCTGGGGTTTGTGTTCTCATGAACGCTGACGGCATCACTAATGCCTATTCAGAGCAGGCAAACCAAACACGGTATATAGCTTAAGGGGTTCGATCATGAAAGCTCCCCTGAATGCATCCTAAGAGGGGATAGATACAGGTTCTGTCTCTGGAAGGAGAAAAATATCCTTGATTTCTGTGTGTAAATTAACATTCAAAGCTATTTACCCTACAGCAGCCATGGATAAAAGACTCCTTTTGGAAATGCAGATCACAACTGTCAGGATAACCTCTTAGAGAGACAGAATGGATGAGGCAATATCTTTTATTGTACTAACTTCTGTTGGTGTGTCTCTAGTATCTTAGGACCGACACAGCTACACTGCAAACAAAAGATAAACTCTCGAAAGACTTCACAGAATGGAAAGATTCTTAGGCCACCACGATCCCACAAAGATGAGGGACCTCATGATGAAAAAGTTAGGCATAGTGTTGAGGTCTGTTGATCCAGGAAGGGTATCCTGTGCACATAGTGACAAAGACGAGCAAGGAAAAATGACTGTGACAAATAACAAATAATATTTATTAGTTTTCATTCCTTCCAAATGCTCGGGATGCTATTCAGTACACACAGTGGGTTACAGATAAAACCCATTAAATAGAGATCAAAATCCTAAGAGATCTTCAAATATCATAAGAACCACAAAATAAAGTAGTCTTTAAAGCTCTTTTGAACACTGGTGGGATTCACTAAAAGAGACCGTATTTTTTGAAAACTCTGCAAATATGCTGCATCAGTTTGAGCTGAACAGATAGTTCCACTAAACTATGATTTGAGAAAATCCAAGGACAATAAAACAGCAAGTCCTTCAAATAGGTGCATTTACTATTTTATACATCATCAAAGCAAATTGTAGTTCACTCATTGGTCAAAGAATTGATGCTATTTGTTCATGACTGGTCATTCAGTCATTTTTTTGCACTAGCTGCAATCAGTAGAGTTGCTTTGATATTCCAGTATAAAAGGAGTTATAATAATCAGTTCTGGATATAAAAGGATCTGAACAGCATTAGTGAGAAATCTTGCCTGTAGTATTCCAGCGTGCTATACTTAATATTATTATTTATTTGAATTACCATAGCATGTAGGAGGTCTAGTTATGGAACAGGACTCCATTGAGCTAAGCAGTGTACAAACGGTCCCCGTTCCAAGCGGCTCACAATCTGTGTATAAGATTAGAGAACAAATGGAGATAGACAGACGGCAGAGTACAAAGAAACAAGGAGACAGTATTGGTCAGCAAGATGGGCAGAGTTCTCTGCACACCAGCAGCCTGATTGTTGTCAAGCTTTTTGTAGGCATCGTGGCAAAGGAGAGTAATGCTATAATCATGCAAGATGATCAGTGCAGGTGGACCTCCTGTGAGGATCAGCTTGCGGGATTGGGGCCTGTTTGGTTTTTGATTTGCTCACTGTAGGTCACTTTAGAGTGGCAATGATTGTAGTTTTCCTGAGGAAAATTAAATTTGGGTGCTAGCAGAGAGAGAAAAGCTGACTGAGGAGTTGGGAACATATTGCCACATGCAAAATCAACAGATTTTGTGGCCGTTTCTGAGGAGGTAGTACAAATCTTTGATTTCCCCAAAGAAGTCAGTCATTCTATACATAATACACAGTTACTTCCATCACTGCAGTGCTGCATATTGCCAAACTGTTTTAGTACTGTGTGAGAGATTGGTAAGATGTGTAATGGTCCAGTGCTGGGGGAAGTTACCCTTCTGTATCAGAATGCCAAACTTCAAAAATGTAAGGGCTGTGTCAATGAAACCCTCCCAACTGCAGTTAACTGTACCTGGTTTACCTATAGTAAGTCTATAATTCTGGAAGCAAAGTATCATTGTCAGTTCTTATACTGCCGATAGCAAGGTGGCATTCCTCTTTCCACAGAAGAAACAGGCTATTTTATTTTCACTTGTATTTAAAAAAAATAAAACACCTAGCATTAGCAATTAATAGACTTCTTCCAGATTTCCGTGGAGTCCAGAACCGTAAATTCATCCTTCCACTGTGGTATCTGCCCATGACTCATTTTTGTAACCTCTTCCTGGGAGAGAAGTGGTGCCAGCAGAGAAGCTTTGCAGTGAAGCATGCATTTCATTTCTAAAATCTTTAGAGAAAGTGCCTTTCGTTCTCTATAGATTTTGGGCTTCTAGCTTATTTTTGGCTAAAAAGAGATAATATCTGTGATTTAATCAGACCAATGGAAATTTCATATCCTCTTATTCATCCTCCCCATTTTGACATCTTTATTTTTTTTATTTGCACTATCCATTTAAATTATCTTACTTGACATGTGCTGCAGATATATTGCAATAAAGTAAATGTTTACTAATAGCAACCGTAAGCATTACAATACAAATGATTGAAGAGGTATCAACTTTAACTTGGAGTTTCTTCTTTGAGTTGGTTTACACTGCAGTCTTTACTACCTTTTTCTTAACCTCTTGGGCGTAGCTATGGTGGTGGACTTTTAAGCAGTACAACCTAATAGGATGCCCATCAGGAAATACTGCAATCTATTGTCAAATAGGAAATGGTCTAAATATTGTGACTCTGTCCTTGTCTCCGTGGGTCTTTCACTTCCTGGAAGATTTTGCTAGCCTCAGAGGCTCACTGTGAGCCCTTCTTTCTCTAGGGGCAAGGGTCACAGCCTACTGAGCCATTTGCATCATAAGCCAGCAAGGAAGGTGGGGGGAAGCAACCCTCCCAAGCACAGTCTCTGTTGTCTCCCAGTCTCAGTGATTAATCAGGGAGTTGTGGGGGAGGGAACCTGGGCCCACCCTCTACTCCAGGCTCCAGCCCAAGGACCCTAATGGTAGCAGCTAGGGTAGCTGACTTTTTGAAAATAGGACTCGTACAATTCCCTGGGACACTTCCCCACAGTAGCCCCCACTTCCTCAATATCTACGTCACCCTTACCTCAGGGCCTCCTTCCTTGCGCCTGAAATGGTTTGTACTGCTCAGTTCCTCCAACAGCGCGCGGCTTCCTCCTATAGCTCCTGAGACTCATGCCCAACTGACTAACTGGGAGGCTTTTAACTAGTTTCAGACAGCCCCTAATTGGCTTCAGGTGACCCAATCAACCTAGCTATCTTCCCTGCCTTCTGGAAAGATCTTAATTGGCCCCAGATGTCTTAATTGACCTGGAGCAGCTGCCATTTACTTATTCTGGTAACGGATTTGTTTAGCCTGGGGCTAATATATCTGTCTCCCACTACTTTTCTATAGCCATCACAATATGAAAGTTTACCTAAGCCTGGTGGTCTAAGTATTTCACATGATGATTGATGGAAATTTAGCACAATTTTAGCTTTTCTTCGTGGTCATGAATTTGGAATTTTTATCCTCATGAATAAAGTAATTCTGTAATAGTTAAATGATTCTTAAAAGTTGCACATGAAATCCTTGGCATTAGAAGTGGAAATTATATGAATCGCTTTATTTCCAGCATTATATCTTGGAAAATCTCCAATAATTGAGACTTGTGAAACTTTCTGGAGAGTTTACATCCCTTTTTCACCCCCAGATAAATCTGTCTGCATGAAGTTTAATTAAAATAGGGTTGGGTTTCTTTGTCAGCTACCATTATTTGATTAACATTCAGATGAGGTTTTTGTTTTCAAACATATGTGAAGGATCAGGGCTATAGTGAAGCTGGCCCACAGAGGTGCCTGCTCCCAGTGCGAATTCTCCCTGCGGAATGGCAGAGCCACTGCTACTTTGCCTCAGTTTTCCACTGAGTGGGTAGTTGTAATTCACATTGGAAATAGCATTTGCGCTCAGTCAGCCCAGGCTCGCTGGCTGTACCCATTTTCCAGTTAAATCTAGGAGGGGCATTTTTTGAGGCTGTGCTTGCTTTCTTCCCTCCCTTGTTGAAGGTGAAGTTGCAGCTGCTTTCAATCACCACAACCTCCTTTTTCCCCTTCCCTCCAGCAGACTCTCCTCCAGAATCTGAATAACCTTGGGGTGAATCTGTCTCAGAACCTATCAGTGATAGGTTCTATATTATTTTGTAACCTGTGCTGTTTTAAGTATGGGCCCCCACTTTTTTCTAATTAATATAGTTAACTCTTCTTTTGGCAGCCTCACTTTCAGAACTTTTTGAAACTGCACATACATGCAACCATTGGTTTATTATTAGGGATCAAGGCCCCATTGTGTTAGATTCTGTCCAGAATATAAGCAAACATGGCATCTGCCCTGAAGAACTTACTAATAAAAGATTCAACAGGAGAGTGCAACAAACAATAGGAAGAAAGGGAGGACAAGGATGATGGTAAGATCGTGTGGCTACAAAGGCTGACAGTGGGCACAACTTGAAAGTTCCAAATCGTTTAAACTTTATTTTTAATTGTTTTCAGAATTTCTTATTAAGCTATAACTCCTTGTGCTCCCCTAGTGCCCCCTCAGTAAAAATGGTTCTGAGCTTAATGACTGTCCTTTTAAAAAAAAATGTTTCTCCCTCTCTTCTATATAGACCATCCCCAACCACCCCTCTATCTAGAATAATTGGAGAGGAGGGGTGTACATAACCTATCCTCACAACTGCTTCAGAGAGTGGGACCCTTTGTCTCCCCTGGGCTTCTGTCTCCCAAGTGACTAAGAGATTGTCAGGGCCCTCTTGAATAGCAGCAGAGAGAATAGCAAGGATTGGTCTCTGAGAAGAGGACAGAAAACCTGTTGGTTATGGATTGAATGATATTACAGTTATCTACAATACAATCATAGAACTTCTCTGCAGTCAGATCGTTGTTCATGTAGATCTCTCACTTCCATTTCCACTGCTCTTCCTGTGTTTCAGAACGGATGAGTTAATTCAAAAGACAATTCGTGAAAAGTTTGCCCAGTGCACTGTGCTGACCATTGCACACAGGTTAAACACCATTATCGACAGTGACAAGATTATGGTAAGAAAGTTAACAGCATTGGTTCAAGTTCCCTCTAAATATTACTGTCATAACCATACAGCTAAGGGTAGCCTAGAATTCCTCCTTACCTGTAAGGGGTTAAGAAGCTCAAATAACCTGGTTGGCACCTGACCAAAAGGACCAATGGGGAAAGAAAATACTTTCAAATCTTGAAGGGTGTTGTGGGGGGAAAGGCTTTGATGTGAGTGTTCTCTTGGAAAGCAGAGAAGCATCAGGACAGAAAACTCCTTCGCCTCCTTTAAACCATCCTAAAAGTCTCTCATATTACAAAAATTGTAAGTAAAAGCCAGGCAAGGCGTGTTAGATTATCTTTTGTTCTGCTTGTGAATTTTTCCTTTGCTGGAGGGAGGTTTATTCCTGTTTTTTTGTAACTTTGAAACTAAGCCTAATGGAAGTTCTGCTGTGTTTTTCAGTCTTTTGTTACCCTGTAAAGTTATTTTCCATCCTGATTTTACAGAGGTGATTTTTACCTTTTTTTAAAATAATATCCTTCTTTTAAGAACCTGACTGATTTCTCTATGGTCCTAAGACCCAGGGCTTTGGGTATGTGATCACGTTGTAACCAATTGGTTACGATATTATTCTCAAGCCTCCCCAGGAAAGGGGGTATAAGGGTTTGGGGGGATATTTTGGGGGAATAAGAACTCCAAGTGGTCCTTTCCCTGATTCTTTGTTAAGTCACTTGGTGGTGGCAGTGTACCCTCCTAGGACAAAGAGTTTGTGCCTTGGGGAAGTTTTACCCTAAGCTGGTAGAAATAAGCTTAGGGGGTCTTTCATGCGGGTCCCCACATCTGTACCCTAGAGTTCAGAGTGGGGAGGGAACCCAGACAACTACCATGACTAGCAGCTCATAGAAGATAGGGATGGGAAAAGACCTACTCGATCACCCAGTCCCTCTCTCTGCTGATTCAGCATTGTACTCTAAAGTCAGGGTCCCATGTACTCTGCAGACATATGCATTTATTAAATACCTTTCATTGCCATCTTCTGCTCCCCCTCAGCTCATAGCTGAAAAAGACTCAGTGAAGTGCAATCCGTTGATTATTTTTCAAGAGGGGATATTTTTGCTGTGCTCTCCCGGCAACCTGGCTGCAGTCCCTGGGCCGTGGCTCCTACAATGTTGTTTAGCCTGGCTCAGAAAATTCTTCCTCCTCTGTGTTCCAGGGGAAAGAGGGAGCTTGTCGATAGCTTTAGCAACTCCTTTCCTCAGCTTCCCAGTGCTCAGTTGCTTTGCTGTTCTCCAAACAACCCCGCTTCCCAGCCTGTACTTCTGGTACCTGGTCTCCCTCCATCACCCTTATCTCTGCCCCAAGCCCCCACAATCTTGCTTCCTGGGTGCAAACTGGACATTTTAGGCTCCCAGGCTCGAAGGTTGCAGGAAGGGCTTCAAAGGCCTGGGAGACATAAAATGACAGGCACCTGGCTTTAGTAAAATGCTGACTTATACAGCAAAAATGCTGACTATTTTGGAATATGCCAAATTCTGTGTCTATAGAATTGTGGACCCTGATTGAGATGAATTAAACAATTCCCAGCTCTTGGGGTTATTGTTTCAAGTTGTCTGCAGGGTCAGGCTGGTATTACTGCATTGGTTTTCGCTCAGTTAACTTCTTCAAGGTTATCTTCATGAACATAAGGGCTAATAACATAATGTGTCTTATACAGGAACAGATTCTGGAGATTAATTTTGTAACAAGAATTTAATTCCACAGCCATTGCATGCAAGTGGCCCTGCCTACAGTACATGAATTAGTATTTCCCCAAATAAATGTCCCATGTGGTGGTGGGGTTTCCACCACTTCCCTTGAGAGACTATTCAACAGGAATATGAGAAGAGTTGTATTGATATTTTATATATTTTCTTAATTTCATCACATTACAGTATGAATACTGCCTTGTACCATCCTGATATAACTTTTCCTCCTTGAAGTCTTCTGCAGCATTCAGATATTTGTATCTCCTCTTTTATAGTCACCAAACCAAACTATGAATACTCAAGTGAGACATTTAAGTCTTTCCTTGTAAGTAAGTCCCTCCAAATTCCTAATTATTAATCACTGTTGTTTCTGTTCTCTGAACTTCCTCCAATTTGTAAGGATCTTTCTGGCATTGATTTGTATGGAGCTGCAAACAATATTTCATGTGCAGTTGTCTCAGAGCTATATAAAGAAGGACCGTTGCTTCCCTGCTCCGTCATTGTGTCTGAGGAGCCTAAATTTGTATTGGCCTATTTTGCTCCCATATTGTATTGCAGACTTGTGTCTAATATGGTCCCTTGTTCCGCTCTGAATCTTCTAGCCCTCTATCAGGAGTACTGCTTTCCAGATTATTTCCTCCCATTGAATATCTATGTAAATTGTATCTCGGTTTGTTATTTGCTCCCCATGTTTCTTCAGTCATTTGCGCTATCTTACTATAAGAAACTTGAAAACTGGATATAGATACATCTGGATACATCAAGATAGAGGTCAACATGATGTTAAGAGAATGGAATGGATCATCATCATTATCATCATCATGTTCCCTTTACGCCTCTGGAAGCAACGAAGCTCCTCACTCCTGTCTGTTTCTGGCAAGTCTTTCAATGGTCCCCCAGCTGTGCCCCAGGTTTTTCAACTTGGCTTCCACTGCTTTTTGCCATGTTGTTTTGGGGCGGCCTCATTTTTGCTTGCTTTCAGGTGTCCATCTTATTGCTACTCTGGTGATGGAATCAGTTTCCATCTGAAGCACATGGCCAGTCCAATCCATCTCCCACGCCTCCTGGCAAAGATGGTGCTCGTGTCCTCTTGGCTGCACTGTGTCAATAGTTCTTGGTTTGAGATTGATCTGGGCCAAAAGATATGGAGCCTTTAATCTCTTATTGATTGGTTTGAAACTAGCTTGATAGTAGTCAATGAAAGCAACTGCCAGTTATTTAATGGTTTACTAGGTGTGGATCTGTCATCTCAACTCATTTCTTAGGTTCTGATTATGCTACTCTTGTACGGAGCTTCAGTCAAGTTAATGCAACTCTGCATGGGCACAGCTGTCCACCCATGTGCTATTCATCGTAAGATGAGGGCCTTTGTGGGCACTTACATCACAAAAAGCAACAGTAGAAATGACACAAGAGGTCACACTTATGGTTGAACAGAAGGGTCTTCATATCAATCAATATCCACCAATTCAACTTCAAAAAAGAGCTTTGCATTTGGAGGAATCTTGGCATCAGTCTGCCCTTTCTTCCTATAAGCCCATTCAAGTTCAATTTCCAGATGAGCCTTCTCCCCTTTAGTCATTGTCAACAGAGCTTCATCCCAGCCTCTGATAACTTTTCCTACACCAACTTTGAAGCTTAAAGATTTGGCTCCTTTACAGAGCTGAAGACTGATATACATCCTCCTGCCAGATGAGGATGATATTAATAAAACCATCTTTATTAAACTTTTTCTCTCATAAAAGCTGAAATAGGGAGTATTTTTATTCTCACTAGGTATTTTTTCCTTTTGGACACCATAAACACATTTTAAACCAATAGTCAAGGATTGTAATGGTTGTGTGGTGCGTACAAAAATGAAGCATCTGTGCCTATTGGTGTTCTGGAGCATCATAAACATTAGGCTATGAATTGAGAGATTATAGTTTACTGCTTGCTAGTCACTTCATAAACATTGTCATAATAAGTCATGTAACTGCAAGTGCTTAAGGTATAATCATTAAGTATTCCTTCACTGGTGAATACTTCCCCACAAAGACTGATGGATCTGGTTTTGTTTACCGCCACTATGTTGAATGAAAGGCTTGTTCGGAAACAACTGCAACCTAATTAATAACTTTGTTTATATGTTGGCTATCCAAAGGGATTTCCACTGGTTTTGGTTCATTAGGCACCATTAACATGTTAGGTTCAGAATGCTGTTTTATAAAGATGTTTTCATGTTATTTAGCATGGTACAGTCATAATGATAGCTACTTAATACTTTATTTACTCATTTGCTATAAAATACTGGAGCAAGGTAGACAAATTAAAAATAGTCTTTCTTCCCATACTGCTCGCTCTCTTACGACTGAAGATAGTTCCTTTGTTGTAGCTCTAGAGTTAGCGTGCCATTTCTGAAGTTTTATTGTTTCCTTTTAGCTTACATTACAGACCTGTCCTTTACAAACCCTTTATGTCCACATACAATCCAATCTGACTTCTCTTGGAATGGTTTTGCTGTCCTTTCTAGATTGTATTAAGGAGAGGATTTACAAAGTGTCCCATAGGCTCAGCAAGCTTTACTAGTCCACATTGGTGGCTTGAGAATTCTGCAAGAATTTGCAGGGGGGAGAAACATAATACTGAAAGAATGAGAAATTTCAATACCTATTGTGAGCCATTAAGAAACCTCTTTTCTTCGTCACTACACAGAGCTTTTCCTGGCTTGGAGCCACTTACAGCTGGTTTCCAGTAGCTATGAGTGAGACTTAATCTTCTCTCACTACACGAGCAGCAAGAAGGATACCAACATGAAACTATTGGCTCTGCCTCCAGAAGATCAGAAGCATTGTACACCATTGAAAATAACAACATAAGAATGACTGTACTGGGTCAAACCAATGGTGCATCTAGCTCAGAATTGTGTCTTCCAACAGTGGCCAATGCCAACAGGCAATTATCGAGTAATCCACTCCCAGCTTTGGGCAGTCAGAGGCTAAATGGCAGTGTCTATGGAAGGGATACTTTTAAATAAAAGTATACTTTAAAAAAAATCTGCATTCATATATACATATACCTCATGGGAAGTGACCTATTAAAGAGGCTAGAAGGATCCTGGAATTGTAAAAAAAAAAAAACAAAAGAAAACCAAAACAGTGTTCAGTATTCTTACAACAGCAAAAGACTGTTCTTCATTGTGGAAATAGCACATCTGGTACCCCTAAATACATATATTCCGTGCATGCAAACTAGCCTTAATGGATGATTCAGGTTAATAAACAAATTACTCAAAAGTCAGAGA